AGTATTATTATAATGTGCCAGAACTTCAGATCTTGTCACATAAAACTTCTTACTCGTTACTTTTTACAAACTGCACTATTACATACCTTTCTAACAAATGACAATATTTCATGACAAAGGTAAAGTAGCTGCTATACACATGCCTATTTTTGAGGTTGAAAATCATGACAATGTACTTCAGATGCTTCCTTGGTGACTGAAAGAATTTGCACAGCTTCTTAAAGGGCTAGATTTAAACAGGAAATAATTATAATGGGAAAATTTGCTAAAGCTGTTCATTTGTTTATTGGTTCAACAAGATTTCTCTAAAATGTATCTTAAGGAGTTTCATAATATTTATTAACTTTTATCTTGTAATAAATATATCAACATATGTTTGTGATGTTGTTATGTTATGTTTATCCTTACTATGACCTTTGAATACATTAAACATTTTACCTCAGTATTTTTTCCAATTTTTGATGTAATCACCTTCCCATAGATGATATACAAGTTATCCTGAAGGAAATAATGAGTTTGTGCACATAACTATACAAACTTCTACTAGAAGATGTAAAACTAGAATATACATTTCTTTGTCTTCCACCAACACCATTCAATCCTGACTGTTTTGTTGAAGAAACAAATTTAGCAAACTTTGAACACACAATCATAAAATACTGACCATATATATAAGAATAGAAAGCTGTTAAACAGCAGGTTTAAAGTTCTAATATCATCCCCCAAATAATTAATTTAAAAATTACTTATTTCACATACTTAATTTGCTGTTTGAAAATTTCATCAAACATTCCTGAAATCACACATTTGTGAAGCATTTGTAATCTCTTTTAAATAAAATATACAAACCTATAAAAATCAAACTTACTGCTGATACTTAAAGGAAACTAAACTATTACTAATTTGATTATGTGTGGGTGCTTAGTCACTCAGTCGTGTCCGACTCTTTGAGACCCTATAGATTGTAATCCGCCAGGTTCCTCCGTCCATGGGAATTCTCCAGGCAAGAATACTGGAGTGAGTAGCCATGCCCTCCTCCAGGGAATCCTTCCAATCCAGGGATCGAAGCCAGGTCTCCCACATTGAAGATGGATTCTTTACCGTCTGAGCCCCCAGGGAAGCCCAAAAATTCTGGAGTGTGTAGCCTGTCCCTTCTCCAGGGGATCTTCCTGACCCGGGAACAAATCAGATTCTCCTACGTTGCAGGTGGATTCCTTACCAGTTGAGCTACCAGGGAAGCCCAGTTTGATTATGATCTGGGCATGATCTTGCTTAGGGAGGAAAAGCATAACAAATCAGTAACCAAGTCTATAAATTCTTCCCATCTGGAATGAAGGGCAAGATTTCAGTTACCTGTGATCAACTGTGTCCAAAACATTAAACAGAAAATTCCAGAAATAAGTGATTCATAAGTTTTAAGTCTCACTCCATTCCCGACAGTGGAATGAAATCTTGAGCCATCCCACCCAAGAGGTGAATCAGCCTTGTGTCCAGTGAATCCAGCCAGTTGTCACTTAGAAACTATCCAGCTTATTACATAAACAGTTGGGATATTGTAGTGCTTTACACTCACATACACACACTCTATATGACTTAATAATGGCCCCAAAGCATAAGAGCAGTGATGCTGGCAAATCACATATGCCAAAGAGAAACCATAAAGTGCCTCCTTTCAGTGCAAAGGTGAAAGTTCTTGCCCTAATAAGGGGAAAAAAATCACATATACTGCTGACAGTATGAGGCTGCTAACATCTATGGTAAGAATGAATCTACTGTTCATGAAACTGTGAAGAAGGAAAGAGAAATTTATGCTAGTTTTGCTGTCACATCTGAAGCTGCAAAAGTTATGGCCATGGTGCCTGATGAATAGTTAAGGTGGAAAAGGCTTTATATTTGTATAATAAGGTATTTTGAGAAGGAGATACCACCTTGATATAACTTTAATCATAGTATGCTGTTATAATTATTCTATTGTATTATGGGTTATTGCTGTCAATCTCTGTGTCGAATTTATTCCAAGTATGTGTGTATAGGAAAAATATAGTATAATGGGAGTGCTATCAATGGTTTCAGGCATTCGCTGGAAGTCTTGGAAAATAACCACCAAGGATAAGGGAAAATTGATGTATTTAAGATACTTAAATTAACAAATGAGAATAGGGTCTTTTTTAATAAAAGAAATCTGGAAGATGTAGGAGTGATAATTTTAAAAAGCTGCTGTAGCTCTGAGACTTTGTTTAGGTGGAAAAAATTAAAGTTTTATTCTACTTACTATGTGATAATTTGGCAGTAACTTTATCCTTACAGAGCACCACTATTTTCATTAAATAAGTATAGCCTATGCTGTCTAAAAAAAGTCAATATAATTTATTCTATGAAACACAATATTCTTATTATATAGCACTCATCAATCACTTCTTCCACATACAATGAAAACAGCTAATGTCATCAATTTTCACTTATATTACCCCGATGTGAATAACTTTGAATAACATTTTGCTAAGCAACATTAAAATACAATTGTGTCCCTGAACTGCATTCAGTTCACAGCCAATCTGTGCCAAAGGATTATGGATAATAAAGGTTGGAATACTTTGTTGCTCCACTAACTTGAGTGACCTTTCTGAGTCAACTTACACACCAGGCTTGTCTTGGGCAGCTACAAGATGAGTCAAACTCTGCACCCACCTGCTAGAATCTTAAAAATTCATAGAGACCTTAGTGGGGTTCAGGCATGGATACAGTCCAGATGGTCTCAATAACACTATTTTCTCAAGGCTGCTTCCTTAGAGCGGTTCCTAGCGTGGGAACAGTGAGTGAAATGTATATCCAAGGACGGGGTAGGGGTTAGGTGTCTCTGATTGACCAGGTCCCGCTTCAAGATCAGCTGGTGGTCATGTCCTCTTGGAGACCTTCTCCAACATTTAAATATCATTTAGTCCTACTCTTTCTTTTGTTCTGCAGTAGAGGAATGCCCAGGAATGACCTGTCTGAGGAATATTTCAAATCCATTTATGTGTCTAGGAAAATACTATAAAAACTAAAATGTATAATATTTATGTAAACAAATAGCCCTGCACTTGATTAATTTCATTCTCTTTAAAAGAGAAATGTAGTATTCCTTACTATCCTGAACTCATATGTACTGGAGTGTTCAATAATATATGTTTTAGTAGTATTCTTTAATAGTGTAGTTCATGTGACTTTTTATATGGGGAATCATTTCTTAAAGATTTGCAACCCATCAGATACGCTGATATTTGACATTCACTGCCAATAGTTTATTTCCTTTATCCCACAATCTCAGTCAAAAATTCAGTCCAAAAATAAGTAGAAATGAGGAGTTAATTAAATGTTTGTGAAGGGTTCATAATATATATATTTTTCTTATGCTCTATGAACAGAAATAAAGTTCCTTACTCATCTGCCTTAGATTTCTGCCTACTGACCCATAAAATAGGAACTCTTCAATATTTATTTAGCCTCAATAACATGTACTATGCTAGGTACTGCAAGAGATGCTAAAAATGAATAAGGCATGAGCCCCCAGGGAATATATCATCTCTAGGAGGAGAATAAATAAGCACTGTATTCAAATTCTAAAGTGAGAATTATAAGTGGTATATGGCAGTTAAAATAAAGAACTTGTGGGAATTTAGAGGAGGGATAGATCATACCAAGTGGGAGAAATCAGGAAATGAAGGCTAACCTCAGGAAGTGAGACCTGAATAGAATTTCCAGAGCAAGGTCCTCCAAGGAACCAGAATGCTTACAAGGATGAGGGGAAAAGAAAAAGTGGAATGATCATGTTTCAGCAACTTGAAGAGACCCAGATTCCCTGTAGTGCAAAAGAATAAGGGGAAAAAAGGAATGAACCACGGGCAACCCCTAAGCTAGTTATCCCGGCTGCTGCTTCTATTTACCATATATTGTAATATATATAATAAATTTACTCTCTTCTGAATAGAAAAAGGATCATTCCTGACTAGCAGCCAGAATCTTGAGGCTTCAGCCCTGCCCAGTTAAATAAAACTGAATATTTTGAGTTGTTGAGTCATACCTACTGGAAACAGTTTACTCTGCTCCAAGGCTTTGTCACTGAACTGGATGTACTAAATTCAAGAGTTTGGGGGTCAGACAGTCCTTGATTGAAAGTGCGTTTCAGTCACAGCTGATAATGATTTTGGCTGATAATGACGAGAGCAACTATCACTTTTCTATGCATTTTCACCTGTTTTTCCTCTAAACTAGCTCTTCTGAAAACTTTAATGTGCACAGATATCACGTGAGGTGCCTGTTACGCCAGGGGTTTGGATTCAATAGGGTTGAGGTGGGGCCTGAGATTCTGCATTTCTAATGAGCTCACAGGTAATGCTGATGCTTCAAGTATGTGGACCACTTTTGAGGACGAGAGGCTTTTGCACAGCTCCCAGACAGCAGAATCAGCATTACCTGGGAACTTGATGGCTATGAAACGCGGATTATCCGACCCCCGCCCAGACCTACTGAATCAGAAACACTGGGATGAAACCCAGTACCTTGTGTTTTAACAAGCCCTCCAGGTGATGTCACTGCTTTTCGAACACACTCGAAGCACCTGGCGGGAAGGCTGGGTAAAATACTACTTATTGAAGACAGAATCTCACCCCCAGATAGTCCCCTGTAACTGGTGCGTGGTGTGGTCTGGGCAACGGGCTGTCTAAAAGCTCTACCAGGTGACTCAGATATGCAATAAAATTTGAGAATCTCACGAGGAAGGTATTTAACTTTTGGCAGGCCTTCTTTTCCGCCTATGTAAATATCCACGCTGTGGATAATATCCACGCTGATTCCTGCCTTCGCGTCCAGATTTTGCCATCTTCAGCCACACTTAGTCGGTCAAAATCCCACTTCAGTCTCCCCTCCCGGTGTCCCACATCTTCGGTCCGAGAGCCTCAAGTCCCGGTGGCGGGACCCGCCAGGGCACCAGCCAAGCTCCGCACTCCGGCGCCGCCTTGCACCTACGTGGCCCAGGGGTCCGCCCTCGGGGGCTCCCGGGACGGCGCCTGAGCGCTCGGCGCATGCGCTCGGCGCCGGCCAGGCCCCGGCCCGTGTAACGGACTCGCGCTCCCCCCACCGGAAGTGGGCGGTCGCGCGACGGGAGGAGCCGGTGGTAGCGTGGCGGCTGCGGGCTGTGGGCTGAGGGCGCGGGGCTCGTGCTTCCCTGGACGCACCATGGCAAAGGCAGCCGGCGTAGTGCGGCTGCTCCTGGGCTTCACGGCGCTCTGGCTCTTGCTGCTCGGAGACCGCACGGCCTCCGCGTCCAAGGCGGTGACGGCCCACTTGGCCGCCAAGTGGCCCGAGACCCCGCTGCTGCTGGAGGCCAGGTGAGGGAGTGCGGGCCGGACCCTCCGCCGAGCCCGCGCGGAGGGAGGGTGCGGCGGGGCTGTGGGCGCCCCGGGACCTCGACGGCGCCTCAGACGCTTGACCCTGGAAGCATCACCTCCTCCGCTTGCTACCCTGGGCGCCGCACTTACTTGCGGCTCTTTCCCGCCCCTCCATTCCTTCTTTGCCTCACCCACGGGTTTGAAAACTTTTAATTCCTTTGGATTTTCTTAGCCTTTACGTGAGAGAAAAGGAAGATTGGGAGGTGGACTGTGGTGTTTAGTGCAAGCTCTTCAGTTGATGGAGGCAGTTCTAGTTTTTAGGAACCGGTATTTGAAGCACCTAATTTCATACGATGGCTTTCTGTGGAGAAGAGAGCGTCCCAAAGCTCTGACTTCTTTCTGAATCTCCTCACCCGGAGTTAGTGCATAAGGTATCATGTACCTTATGTGGAGAAACAAAACTGGGAGATAATGAATTTTAATCTTAGTATTCCAGTAGTTAAAATTTGAAAGGTTTTTTTTCCTTTTTTAACCGGCATGAAGTTGTTTTGTTGGCGTGAAGTTTTTAATGCCAGTTGCTTTTGTATTAATATTTCATCAGAGCCATAGCTTTTGGTTCCAGAGTCTTCATCACCTCCGTGATGTTGCATATATAAGATATGAAAACAGATTTTTTAACGTTGAGCTATAATTTATGTAATTATTATTATATTATTATTATAAATTATAATTTATGTAATTATTATGTAAGGTATTAGTTTCAGGTGTGCAACATAATGATCTGATAATGTGTTCACATGGTGTGAAATTATCACCATGGACATACGTCCAGTTAACATCTGTCACAACACATAATTACAAAGGTTTCTTTTCTTGTGATGAGAACTTTTAAGATCTCTCTTGGCAGCTTTCCAATATGCAGTTCTTTACCTATAGTCACCATGCTTGACCGATTATTTATATTGTAGCCAAATATTTGCACCTTTTGACCACCTTCACTCATTTCTGCCTGCTTCTGGCACCCAATCTGTTCACTGTGTAGGAGCTCATTTCCTTACTGTGTTATGTTTGTTTTAAGATTTCATAGGGTATTTGTCTCTGACTTATTTCACTGAGCAAAATTCCCTCAGGTCTGTCCAAGTTCTCACAAATAGCAGTATTTTCTTTTTTTATGGCTGAATAATACTCGTGTGTGTGTGTGTGTGTGTGTGTACATTTTCTGCACTCTACAACAGCCCCAAATGCTTCTCCAGTGTCCCGCACAATTTCCCTGATATGGGGAACTGAGCCCTGCTTCAGGTCCCCCACCCACCCATGTGCAGGTGCAGTCCTGCTCACTCACCTTTTTTTCCACTTCTCTTTTCATCCTGCCAAATTTTGCATGGATCTGTATATTCCTTTCTAGTGATCAGGGACGCTTGCCCATTCTCAGCTGATGTTCTGCAAGATCTTCTGTGTCTGAAGGGGTATTCCTGATGCATCCATGGAGAGCGATGCACTCCACGTCCACCTGCTCCTCTGCCATCTTCCTGTCTCTACATTTTCTGTATTCTTTTATCATTCAGTGGATTCTTAGGTTGTTAAGATATCTTGGCCATTGTAAATAATGCTGCACTGAACATAGGACTACCTGTATTTTAGTTACAGTGTTTTTCACCCAGAATTGGAATTGCTGGATCATATGATAGTTTGTAAAAATTTTTGATGAACCTCCAAACTGTTTTCCATAGTGGCCGTACCTGTTTACATAACCAGCAAGGGTGCACATGGATTCCTTTTTCTCCACAGCCTCACCACACTTGTTATCTCTCTTTTATATTTATATAATTATATATACATATAATTTTATTTATTATTGGCTCTACTAAGTCTTCATTGCTGCATGGGCTTTTTTGTAGTTCCTGGGCTCTAGAGCATGGGCTTAATGGTTGTCATGCACAGGCTTAGTTGTTCCACGGCACGTGGGGTCTTCCCAGATCAGGGATCAAACGGATGTCTCCTGCATTGGTGGATGGATTCTTTACCACTGAGCCACCAGGCAAGCCTATCTCTTTGGGTTTTGTTGTTGTTGTTGTATATGGCCTTTATTATGTTGAGAAGAGATAGGCTGCCCACTCCAGTATCCTTGGTCTTCCATGGTGGCTTAGACTATAAAGAATCTGCCTGCAATGCGAAAGACCTGGGTTCGATCCCCTGGAGGAGGACTTGACAACCCACTCCACTTTTCTTGTCTGGAATCCCCCTGGACAGAGGAGCCTGGTAGGCTATAGTCCATGGGGTCGCAAAGGGTCAGACATGACTGAGAGACTAAGCACAGCACATGTTGAGGACATTCCCTCTATACCCATTTTGAGTTTTTAATCTTGATACTGATTTTTTTCAAATGCTTTTTTTTTGCATCTATTGGGATGATCATGTGATTTTATCTTTAATTTGTTAATATGGTGTTTCACATTTGTATATTTGTGGATATTAAACCATCCTTGCCTCCCTGGAATAGCTTGATTATGGTGTATGATCCTCTTAATGTATTGTATTCAATTTGCTAATATTTTGTTGAAGATTTTGCATTTATGTTCAGCAGGAATGTTGACCTTTAATTTTCTTGTGTCCTTTTCTGGTTTTGGTATCAGAATAATGCTGGTCTTATAAAACAAGTTTGAGAGTATTTTATTTTGGAAGAGTTTGAGGATTGGTATTCTTTATTTTTTAAGTTTATTTTTAATCAAAGGACAATTGCTATACAATATTGTGTTGGTTTCTGTCATACATGTTTGGTAGAATTCAACAATGAAGCTATCTGGTTCTTGACTTTTGTTTATTGGGAAGCTTTTGATTACAGATTTGGTCTCCTTGCTAATAATAAGTCTGTTTGGATTTTACTATTTCATGGGTCAGTCTTGATAAGTTGTATGTTTCTAGAAGTTTATTCATTTCTTCTAGGCTGCCCAGTTTGTTGTTGTTTAATTGTTCATAGTAGTCTCTTATGATCCCTTGAATTTCTGTGGTATAGATACATCTGTATAGATGTTACAATATATAGATATTTAGATGTAGTATAGATATTACAATAAAACAGTTTTTATTAAACAAAATATTCTAGTTTAAAATATGTCCTATTCCTCTACCTTTTCCCCAGTTTCTTCCATACTTTGCATGGATATGGTCTTACAATCAGTTCCAAATCAGTCTGACTTCTTCGATTATTAGACTGGCAGTTGGAGTGTTTCAATTTCTACTTGCCTCAAGAGTCTGAGAATTGGAACTCCCATAGGATGCTCTAAGGAGCATCCTTAGGTTCTTCACAGTCTAGCCCCACTCTGTTGTACCATCTCCATAACTTGTAGTGAGTTGAAGGGTGGCTTCCAAAAAGATATGTCCACATCCTAACCCCTGGAACCTGTGAATGTTACCTTATTTGGAAAAAGGCTCTTTGACAATGTAGTTAAGGGTCTTAAGACATGATTCTTACGTATCTGGATGGGTGCTAAGTCCATTACGCTTATAAGATACATAAGAGAAGACACAGGAAGACCAGGACATATGAATAGAGACAGAGATAGGATTGATGTAAGCCACAAGCCAAGGACCACCTTAAGCCTTCAGAACCTGGAAGGTTCTCCCCTAGAGCATTTGGAGGGAGTGTAGCCCTACCAATAACTTGATTTTAGACTTCTTCAGAACTGTGAGATAATAAGTTTCTTTTGTTTTAAGTCACCAAATTTTTGATAATTTATTACGGCAGCAATAGGAAACTGATTTGCTTTTGTTCCTTGAAGTAGGGTACTGCTGTAACAAATACCTAAAAATGTAGAATCACCTGTTGAATCTGACAGAAGCTGGAAGAGTTTTGAGAAGCGTGGTAGAAAAAGCCTAGATTGCCTTGAGGAGACTGTTGGCAGAAATACAGAATACTGGAGTGGGTTGCCATGCCTTCCTTCAGGGTATCTTCCCAACCCAGGGATGGAACCCAGGTCTCCCACGTTGCATGTGGATTCTTTACCATCTGAGCCACCAGGGAAGCCCAGGAATGCTGGATAGCCCAAGAATACTGGTAGCCTATCCCTTCTCCAGGGGATCTTCCTGACCAAGGAATCAAACCGGGATCTCCTGCATTGAAGGTAGATTCTTATCAGCTGAGCTACCAGGGAAGCCCTAAGACATTTATAATTTAGTACTATTTTCTAGGGATGTTTATAGGCTGATGAGGCTAAATTGTTCAACACCTATACCATAACTTAAACATTTAAACTGTATTTATTCCACTGGTGTTGCTCTTATTGAAAATATTTTTTGAAATAACACTTATAATTACTGTCCGGCTCTTTAGTACATGTAAAATTATCCTCTATGGAAATTTTTTTTATCTATGTTAGAATAGATAAAATTCTTTTGAGAAGAAACCTTGTTATTTGGTGCTAAATATTATATAAAACAAGTAAACAAACTGGAACTACTGGAATTTTGGATTTTTTTTTGCTTTAAAAAATTTTGACCAAAGTAATAACTTACATTTTTGGAAGGTAAGATGCTGATTTAGATGGTCTCTCAAGGCTATTTTGTCCTCTAAGAGTAATGATTGGCAAATTGAACATGAAAGTAATTCAAGAAGAGTTCTCAAAGTGTTAGATCAGTGGTATAGTGAAGTAGTAATTGTGAGGGAATACTTTAGTAAGGTGATTACTTTGAAGGATCA